GTTTGCTGCGCTGAATTTATAATTCAGCTACAAGGTTGTGCTACATTTTGCCTACTTTTCATCTCTTACGAACTGCTAATCTAATTGGGAATACCTACAGAAGATTCAAAGCTAATGCAATTAGAAGAAGGAACATCTCCCAGTATAGGCGAAACTCTGGAGGCAATCTAACTCGAGTCTCGAGCGGATATGCGCCAAACTACGCAGTAAATATTAATATTACATCGAGTATTTTGATAGTAACAAGGCCGAAAAAGCATCTCAAAATCTCGATAAAAGGGCATTTGTGTAGATTGATCACTCGTTCCCTAAATTACCAATCTCAGACACCTCGATTTTAAAGTAGCGACCTTGGGAAAGCATGAACATAACTATTTCAGATAGCTTATGGCCAACCTATTGCTGATCTGTGTCACCCTTTTTGTGCCACCCTCGATAATCGCGCTGAACCCTCATCCGAAACTGCTACTCATATCTATGGACGGCTTTCGATATGATTTGCTCACACCTGAATATGTGAGTGAAAATGTTTAAAAAGATCTTCTCACGAGACTGCTTATCTTCCTTGTGTACAGGTGTTGGGCATGGTCATTGAAGACCATATGCAAAGTTCAGAGCGAAAATGATGAAACCCCCAAGAGAAACAGCCCTTGGAAAGACCCATCTGTGGGACCGGATTGGACCAGTAGGCGGGACCGGAAGTGCTTCTGTGACGAAGTGCGTGGCAGGTGCGGATCCACGTGTCAGTTTATGGGAAGGGCCCAACATGAATCTGTTCACGTTCACGCTTTTGACACGTTTGCACGTGTTGACTCCACGCCGCTAACAGTTGTGGAAGTTTTACAGCGGGAATTCAAAATTTTCATAGTCGAACTGGTTATCATAATTATTATCAAAACCATCGCCTATGTTCCGTTCTTTTTGCTATCTTCATGAAGCAAGGGGCCTAAGGTATCGTTTTTTGTAGGAATGGAGGCGATGTTTTTCCGTGGAAGATTCCTTTAATGCTTTTAGACAGATTTTTGTTTAGCGAAGGAGGTTTTCGTGATTGCAAACATAGTGACACACACAGCATCATGAGGCATCACGAGCATCAAAAAAGCCCACACAACATCGATTTTTTTCCCGAGCCTGTTGCCAAGGGTGACACTGGTTTCTTCAGTCGCGCCAAACCTCCTTTCCAACGCGGAGAA